CTATCCCAGTGGCATGAGTTAGCAGCTGAAGTGGACACTGGACACAGGAGTGATCTTTTCATGGTTAGCAAAAGGATTCTGTGCAGACTCCAGTGGAGCCTCCATGAGGACACAGTGACCAGCCAGCCAGAGCAACCAAGGGCCCCATGCCATGGCCACACATTTAGAGCTTTGCTGGGAATTAACCGTTTGCTTGCACAAGCCTTCCATTTCCCTATAAAATTTAGCATTCAGGAGTCTGTTGTGAGGTAGGCAGGCCCTGCACTAAGCGTGAGGCAGAGAGAGATGGATAGTGAGAGCCTGCCTCAAGGCACTTCCTGTTTCGTAGACTCGTGGTCCAAAAAATCACTGGGAGCGCATGCCAATAAGCCATTCAGTGCAGATTTAATTATTTCTTTTAAAACCCTGGAGATCAAACCAGACTTAGCAATGATCAACAATTAAAATATTTTTACATTACTTATGAGTTATGATCACTACTCAAATTACATTTCTCTTTCAAATACTGAGTAATCAAAGCTAAACTGTTGATTGCTAGCCCGCTCCACAGTCTCATCCTTTCACAGCATTACCCACTTCTAGAAATGAAACCTCCTGCTGTAGTTTGGACCAGAAATGTCTCCCTGGGGACCATGAATTAAATAAAGGCCTGGTCCCCAGCTTGTGGTAATTTGAGGAGTGGTGAAACATGGAAGAGGCGGGGACCTCCCTGGAAGAAGGCCACTGTGGCATTCCCTGGGAAGGTAGGCTGGAACTGCCACCCTTTTTTCTCTTCATTGCTTCCCGGACACGAAGAGGTGAGCAGGCCTCTTCCACCATGTGTTCCCCACCATGCTATATTGGCCCATTATAGGCCCAAGACAACAGAACCAAGCGACCATGCACTGAAATCTCTGAAACCACAAGCCAAAATAAATCCTTCTTCCCTTTAATTTGATCATCTCAGATATTATCTCAGCTTATCACTGTGATTTGCCACAATGCTAGAAAACTAATTAGCATACCTCCATTCACCTAGTTTTATACTGTATTCTTCAGACTGTAAATCCTCTCATAATACACAGGACTCACTTCCCCTACCATCACTATCCATGTGCAAGGTCTTAGAACACTGTCATGACTGATCTTCCTTCTTCTGTCCCTTTTTCTCCTCTGTATTTAATTCTAACCAGCAGGCAGAGCTGTTCAAACATCCATCAGATTATGTTACTCCTCAACTGAAAGCCTTCTGGTGGCTTTCCCTCACATTTGAGCTACAGCTCACACTCTCATTAGTTCCTGCCAGGCCCGGCCCAAGATGACTCGGTCCTGCCCGCCTCTCTCCCACAACTTGAGTCCTAGTGGTAGAACTCCTTTCTCTTGAATTCAACAAGCCTCCCTACCACAGGGATTTTGTACTTCTTCTGCACTGCTTACTTTCTTTATTTCCTTATAACTTCCCTCCAGTAAGTCCTGCCCCCATGTGTAAAGGCACGTAGATGGTTGCCTACACATAGTTAGTTGCCTACATGTCCATCTACTGTGGAGATATAAGAGCTAAAATCACATCACGCAGGCATAGCCTCTGCCTGTGGCCTCCCTGCTCAGATCTTCTCAGGATCACTTCATGACTGTCATCTCTGCTCAAATTCCACCTCTTCAGAAAGCTCTTCCTGGACTTCCCAGGGCTGAAATAGCCACCATCTACTCCGTCCTCCTCTTCTCCCCCACAGTGTCATCTACTCTCTAACCTTTTATCTATTCTACTTCTCTTCACAGTGCTCAACCTGTTTAACTGCTCATTTGTTGCAGATTATGAGCTGACAAGGTGCAGAAGTTTGGGCTGTTTCATGAGTGCCACACACGATGTACTTTGAATGGTGCCTTGTTTTGAGCATTTGTGGGCTAAATATTTGTGGCATGAATGCCTAAGTGTCCTCATTAATTCTCCTAATATTTTTAAGTATCTTAATGAAGTAATAACTTCATAAACTAGCTATTAGATAAATGGGCAAATCTGTAACATAGCTCAAGCAACATTACTCTTAGGGTTCAGAAAATGTAAATTAAGTCCATTACATCCTTCATAATAGTAAAATTAGACTTCAAACAATTCATTTAATCTTCTTCATGTGTTTCTTTTCCATCTCCAAAATGGGTAAGACCATCCCTTCTCCCCTCCCAATCTAAGAAGCACGTCCTGCTGGTCCTTTTGTCTTGCCACTCAGGATGTTGAGTGCTAAAAAAGGTAAGCCAGCCTGTGTTGTCTCACTGAGAATGTTAATCTCAAGTCCATCAATTCTGCCCAAGAATTACAGCCGTAAGGTTGCTCTGCTGATGACTTCTGGAGCCAAGCTCCCGCATTTGGTCTTTTCAGCTCCTTCATGGTGGGAGAAGAGCCCTTCTCAGGGCCCTCTTCTGTTCAGCCCACTGCAGGAAGCACCACAGAAGACTTGTTTATCCTGGGAACAGGCTGAGCTCTGGCTTCTGGCAAGCACTTCCGGCTCATAGTCTCCACTGCCTTCCGGTCAAGCACAAATAAATGGCTGGTACTGTGTTCTGGGCTGAAGTCTTGAGGTCACCACAACAAGGACCTCAGCAAGGGTGTGGACACCAAGGCCTCCAGGCTGACAGCTGTGTGAAGTCCTTCGGAATTAGAAGATGACTTGGAAAAGAAAGAAAAGCAAACCGACCTCAAAGTCCACCCTGAAGATTGCTCACCACAAGCCTGAGGACCCCCATGAGGAGTTAGCTCACTCTTCTGCTTGCAAGAAGGGCAGCTCACAGTGTGCCCATCCGGGGGCAGCCTGTAGAACACCTCCTGGGCTCCCGAGCCCACTCTTGATTGCTGAAGGAGAAAATGCACGTGCCTCTGAGCTGGCTCTCAGACAGGCTCACTGTCAGCAGGTTCTGTTTCCGAGGACTTCTGATGAACTGCAGCCTCCGGACGTGCCAGCTGTGTGGGTCAGGCAAGCCCCTCATGTTCTGTACTAGGACTCCAGTGAGAAGAAAAGGCACAATCAGATTAGGTGATCGGAAAAGTGTGTTTAGGTACCCTAACCGGTGAAGGGCACAGTCCGAGGTCCCCAGGGATGACTAACATGGTTTCTAGAACCTTACCCTGTATATGCTGTGCTTTTCCTGTGCACACAAGCATACCTATGATAAAAGGTAACTCCTAAATTAGGTGCCATAAGAGATGCACAATAACCAATCATAAAATAGAACAATTATAAAGTATACAACTTTTATTATAAACAATTATAAAAATAAGTTATTTAAAACTTATAGATTATTCCTAGAATTTTCCTTTGATGAATTTTGGATCATGGCTGAACATAGGTTGCTGAGACCACAGAAAGTACACCACAGATAAGAGCTATCTCTGTTACTTTTCTCTCATTGCTGGGACAAAATACCCACACCCAATGTTAAGGAAGGAGAGGTTTATTTAGCTTGCAGTTGGTGGAGGCTTCAGTCCATACTTGGCTGGCTCCAAGGCAGGCTGGAACTTGGTAGAGGGCAGCTGTTCGTGGCGGTGGAAAACAGCAAGAGCAGGAAGGGAGCAGCAGCACCAGCATGGCAGCAGCAGAGACTGTCTCCCTCCCTCCCTCCCTCCCTCCCTCCCTCCCTCCCTTATACTGCCTTCAGGCAATCTGCCCCAGGGTGGCTACAGCGCTCACGCCCATAATCCCAGCAGCACTCATACCCATAATCCCAGCAGCACTCACACCCATAATCCCAGCAGCACTCATACCCATAATCTCAGCAGCATTTACACCCATAATCCCATCAGTACTTACACTCATAATCCCAGCATTGGATCATGAATTAATCACAAACTCTAGAAAGTCTATACCAGTGAATGTATACATGAGGCTTTGGGAAATGCCTAGACACAAACAGGGGCACTGCTGGATTATTTACCAAGCAGGGATCAGGGGCAGTGCTGTACCCCAGGAAGAGAACTCCAGGGCTCCATTATCCAAGGCCAGGTCCTGAGGGTGATGAGTGACCCACTCCTCCTGGGTGCAGAGCTCAAGGCAACGCCAAGGAGCTCAGCAATCAGATGAGTGACACCCTAATGCAATTATCTTCTTCAAATTGAAATTCATGTTAAAAAAATCCACACTGAACAACTTATCAAACTTTTAACTAAAAGCAGGTCTAAAAAATGTCATGCCAAACCATGCTGGAGCCTGGTGAAGGAAAAAACTATGTTTTTGTGCATTTTTAATAGTTAATTTTCCCTTAGAACATTCAGAAGAGCTTTAGAAGCATTAAAAAGTGAGTGTATAAAACTTACAACATTATTTTACATTTAAATGTCCTATTTATATCAAAACCAGAATGTGTTACAATTCTACCCTCTTGGTTTCCAGCGCAAGCAAACTCCATAAGACTATTTTTAGGATCTACTTTTTCAGCCCATTTTCATTTCATTTGAAAGCATTGCATGGTCCACAATCCTTTCTGACCCAGTCATTATCTTAAATAATGGCTAATGGACCTGAGCTCAACAAAGTCTCTTTGGCAGGACCATGTTGCAACTGGCTCAGTTAAGAAAGAATTCTCAAGGCTACTTCCAAATTTGGTTAAGATTAAATGAAATTCATGAATCCTCTTTTCTGAGATAGCATTTCTTCAGCCTGGCCTTGATCTCCCTAGGAGCTCAGCTTGACCCTAAATTCTCGGGGCTCCTCCTGCCTCAGTCTCCGTAGTGCCCGGATTACAGGCATGCACCACCACAGCCAGCTATTGAATCCATTTTAGAAGATCCAAATCCAATACTGAATTGAAAAAATATTGATATTTCCTGCTTGTTAAAACAATTTCAGATAAAATTGCAGCAGGATCTAAAGGGTCAGGCTATTGAGAAGGTGATTATATTTTATAAATCGGATACGTTCATGGAAACTTCTCTATCATCAAACTTCAAAACTTTAACATAATTTATGCAATTTTATTATCTATTCAAAGTATGAAATTAAGATATGTAAAAATCTTAATTCCTATTTTTTTAGGGGAAAGCACCAATGCGGTCCCCCACTACCACCAGTGATGCAGTTGAAGTTCCCACGCTGGGGCAACCACAGAGGTCAGCACGCCTGGAGTGCAGTGAGTAAGTGCTGCCCGGGAAAACCACCTGGAACCCACTGGAATTTTTATGTTTCCAGTTGCCATAAGTTTACCTTCATCTATTTCCAAATTGAGAAAGCATATTTATTTTTCCTGCTAAGCATTTTATGGTCATCAAATATATCTTTAAAGTTTTATACTCTGATTTATTGTAACTCAACACTTCAGTGGCACCTTGGTTCACAAACTTGATTCCTTCTGCAGTTCTGAGCCCAAACTGAGCTGAATGATAACAATGAAATTCAGTGATCAGGTTCAGCACTGACCTTCGGGGGAAATTTGATTTGGTTCTCATCCAATTTGGTTTGTGACTAGAATTGTAGTGAGAATGAAGTTTGTGAACCAGAGTACCACTGTAGTTGAAAAAAAAGTTAAAAAAATAGATATTCACAGCATTTCTGATGAATCTATTTCTATCAAAGCAAAAAGTTTGATAATACATTCCATTTAAGATACAATGAAATATTAACACTCTGAATGATGTGACTTTTGCCAAACCTACTTTCCAGATCTCCAGTGTCTTTTCAGCTACTGTTCTGGAGAGAAAATAACACTCTTATAAACAGGAATTTTAGGAGCGTTTGATGTTCTTGTTGCCATGAGCTCTGGCATGGCCACGCGAGGTCTTGTATTTCTCAGCTCTTAGCTCAAGGAGCAGACTTGGAGGACGGAGGGTGGTTGGCTGGTTGAGACAGCCTAGGACCTGTGCAGGAAGCGGAGGAGCTGGAGCTTACCCACCCCACCTCCACTGTCCTTTACATTCCCTGCTGCTGCTGTTCCACGTGGGCATGGATCCAACGGTGTGCTTATAGGCTGGGTCAGCAGGTGGTGAGGACACACGGAAGCCCTGTGGGACACTCTTGATCACAGTGTGTTTTCTTGTAACTGGAAGACAGTAACTGTGTTTTATAGTCTTCCCATGAGGGAAACGGGACATGCATGCGCCTCACCTGAAATCGTCTGGCCTCTGCAAATTGAGCACACTCCAGCTGAAATGGAAGGAAGTTACTCCTGTGTTGGCAAAGGGAAAGCACAGACTTCTGACTTGAGAGAGGGCAGGGGTGAAGCAGAGTCCTGGGAGCTCATGGACAGCTGGGCAGGAGGGACTCAGAAGGGGTCTTTGCCTGCAGGGAAGCAGAGTGGTGGGGATGAAAGGGAATGGAACACCCCGACCCCCAGCCTCCTCATCTGCCCAGAGCGGGGTGGCGCCAGAGCTGTGCCTATCTTGTATGCCATGAGGGCTAAGCGCGATAAAGCATGTGAAAGTATTTTGTAGACTATGCAACATGTTCACTTTGTACTTGGGGTAGGAGGGCTGCTGCTTGTTTCATCCTCAAAACAGAAAACCACATGAAAGCCATGGGGACATATTGTGTTCTTTACTATGAAATCAAATGCAGAAAATATTTCCCTTACGTTAGGGTGCCATGTGGATTGCCCTTGTTTGACAGAATATTAAATATGCAGAAGTAAGGAATTAAAAGGCCCTAATAGCTCTGCCCCTGTTCCCACTAAGATACTTCCCTTTGTCTCTCAACTTATTTGGATTCAAAATAAGGACTATAGTAGTCAGTAGAATGCTTTCTGCCTTGGAAAAGATAGAAAAAAATCTTTGGGACAATCCAAGGTCTTGTTAACCTGAGTGACCTGTCTTCAGCAGGAACATTTGGCCAATGGCAAGAGTTCTTGGGAAATACAGAAGAATGTAGACACATCTAAAACATTTCAAAAATTGGAATGGCACATGGAATTATTTTCCAGAGCTCATTCTCCTGGGGGTAAAATTAGTTGGCAAGTTCCATACTTGGAGTCCGCTGTCAGAGCCCAGCACCAGGCCCCCTGGGTAGAACCAGAAGAAAACAGTCTCCATGGCCACCCACAGTCAACCCATGGAAGATGGGACATATAGCTACTGTGAGATCTCAAAGCCCTACCACCATCAGTCACAGGCACACGGGTGTGCAGTGACAGGTCAGTGTGCTCCAGGGCAATGGAGACAGTCATGCGGGCAGCCAGAGGTGAGAGGAAGAGCCCCAGGTCCCTGAGTTTGAGTTTAACCCTGGCCCTGTCACCTCACCCCTTGGCCCCCATAACTCACCTGGATGATGAGGATTGGTAAGGGTAGGAGCACCCTTGACGAGGTGTTCAAGAGACTGACCTGGGAGTCTCTACAAATACTCAGTTTCCCAGGTTCCTTTCCCCCAGGATCTAGGGTCAGTGAACTTAGAGCACAACCTGGGAGACTTTTTTTTTTTTTTTTTTTTAACAAGCACCTGTAATGATTTTGAGGCGCGGCCAAGCTGGTGCCAGCGCTGAGGTAGTCTAAGACTCCACTGGCCCTGGGCATTGTTGGATGCACAGAGGCTGAGTGCTGGTTAAGGGTAGGAGTTCGTGCTGGCTTCCCATTCACTGTCTCACAGAATGAAAGGTGCTGTACCCTTTGATTCTGTGGGTTGGAGCTCCTGTGGATAGGGAGCAGAAGATCAGTGGCAGGGCAGGAAGGAGACTGGGTTTCCCTGGCACAAGGGGAGTACAGCTGCAGTGAGTGCGAAGGCTAGGCTTTTATTTGTTTGCTCTTTAGTCTCTTTTCTGAGTCCTGGTAGGTTCTGATTACTAATACTGCAGAATGCATTACAGTGTCCTCACTCTTCGGTGCTCCTGCTGTCAGCATGTCTCACCAGTAAAATACAACCTTCATTGATCATATCAACACTCAAAGTCATGAATATGCCACCGAGGTATGCAAGAATTCCTCTGGGGTCTGAAAGCAACTTATAAGATCCTAGTGTCAAGCTACCTAGGCTCTTTCACGATGAGCAAAGGTTGCCAAAGATTGTGGTTCACATGGGTAGTGCTCCACTGTTATGGTTTGTATCTCAATGTCCCCCCAAAGCTTCATGCATCCTGGGGTGGCTTCTGGAATTTGTGATTGATTATTCTGGGTGTGGATGCTGCACCTGCCCTGGGCAGGTAATTTGCATTACAATGTAAGGAGGGAAGAGAAGCCAGCTGCTTGAGCTACTGCTCCTCTTCCCTTTGCTCTCTGCTCTTGGCCATGAAAGGCTGCCCTTGGCCACGTGTTGCTCTGCCTTGGAGCCAGCTGAGTACAGACTGAACTCTCCAGTAACCGTGAGCTAGATAAACCTTTCCTGCCTTCATTTTGGATGTCAGGTATTTGTCCTAGCAACGAGAGAAGAGTAACTGAGCCATCCAGTGACCAAGGGGAGATTGCAGGAGAGCTTGGCGGGGGGTGGGGGTGGGAGGATTGGGGAGTAGACAAGAGTAATAAAGCCCAAGACAGGGAAGGTGACTGCAGAGCAAGGTTGTTGTAGGCAGGAGCCCCACAGTGACCTCGGGATGTGATAAATATGAGGCATGTGGTGATCAGGCTGTAGCCTGGATTCAGGATGGGGGTCAGGACCTCCAGGTGGCAGGTAGTGTCCAGGCCATGGCCACTAGGTCACTGAGGTGCAGACTGGGCATGAGGATGGGTGCATCTGTGGCCTCCTGAGGAGGAAGATGTGTAGGAAGCTGGCATGAGGAGCTCCCCTTAGCTGGACCACTGATGCTAACCACAGTGCCATGCTGCTTCACCCTGTATGGCAACCAAAAAATGACATGATGCCCATTTGATGGTAGAAGAAACTGAGGTCAACAGGACCCACAGGTGACAGAGCTCCCATCTGAATCCAGGTCGGTGTGACCGCAAAGCCTGTGCTCTCTGCCGGGAGGCTAATCAGCAGCCAGGAGACAGGAGCTGGCCAGAAACCAGTCCATGAGGTGTGCCTAAAACTGGAACTGGTGGGAGGAGGTGAGGACTGCATGGCACTGGTGGGTTTCCTGAACCTTGAACAGCTTGGGCATTGTTGGATGCACAGAGGCTGGGTGCTGGTTAAGGGTGGGAGTTCATGCTGGCTTCCCATTCACTGTCTCACAGAAGGCTGTCAGGGTCGCAGGCTCTGCGGGCAGCCAACAAGTACCAAATGGAGTTGGAACAGTGGTCAGGGAAGCCATAGAAGTGGCTGACCTCCCCAGTCTACAGATAAGAAAAGTAGAGTCTAGGACCCACACAGGGCTCCGCCTGGCATCAGTTGGCAGCAGCCCAGGATCTGCAGGCCATTTTCACAGTGAAGACAAGTGCCATCTGGTGAGAAGTGAGGAATGAGCCTGCTGGAAAAGGATGATCATTTTTGCTGGGATAATGATGCCGGTGAGAGCTGATCAAGGTTTGAAGGGTGGAGAAGGACATGCCTGGCAGGACCAGAGGGAGCTGTTTCAGGTTGGGGCAAGAAATGCGTGGGATGACTTGGGGGTGGAAGCAAGGAGAGACCTGGGCTGGAACAGAGCCAGCTCCGTTCTACGTCCCCAGCTGCTCCCTGGGGAGCTGGGGGACTCTGGACCCATCCATGATTTGTCTGAGGCTGTTTTTGTGCCTATACAAACCACTCCAGGCTATAGTTTCGAGGCATAAGATAGATGGTCTAAAGCAGCTGGCAAGATGCTTGGCATATTGTAGGGTTCTCAAGACAGAGCTCTAATTGAATAACTGCTGATAGTGCTAAGATGCCTGGTAGCCAAGGAGAAAAGAGGTGCAGGAATGCCACAAGAGAGTTGACAGAAGGGTGCTTCTCAGTACAGGGGACCCTAAACGGTGTCACAAAGGAGGGCACTGCCTCAGACAGAGCAAGAGGGGAGCCTAGCACAGGGCTCTCAGTGAGCTTGCAGAGTGGTCTTCCTAGGGGACAGGGCTGACAGCACGCCTGGGGCTGTGCTTCCGCTTGCCACACCAAGGCCCTGGGCTATCCACCTGCCCGGGTTCCTTGGACAGTCTCCAGAATGCCAGGCAGCCAGACATGAGCTCATGTATTTACTGTAAGAAGCTGTGCAGCTGGGATGGGGGGAGGTGGCAAGGGGCAGGAACTCGGCCCCTCTACCCCAAAGCAGGCCGGAGAGACTTCACTGGAATCTCCGCAGGAAAGAGTGCTGGGCCTCAGGAGAGGGCTTCAGGGAAAGACCGCTGCTCTTTGTGCTGCCAGCTGTCCCCTTCTCAC